AGAGAGAGAGAGAGAGAGAGAGAGAGACAGAGAAGAGAGAGAGAGAGAGAGAGAGAGAGAGAGAGAGAGAGAGAGAGAGAGAGAGAGAGAGAGAGAGCGAGCGAGAGAGAGAGAGAGAGAGAGATAGAGAAAGAGATGTCAAACAAGGGAGAGATAGAGGGAATGGGGAAAGAAAAAGAGGAGAATAGAGCTTACAGATATGCAATGCAGACTTCCTACTTTCCACAGGATGATATCATGAAGAAGGCAAAGATGATGTGTGCACAGGTGTCGAAAGATTTCACTCCAGTTGTTACCCATCTTGTTTGCGGAGAGGTGGGCTCCAAAAAGTACAAGGTACAACATGAGTGACTGCCCTGAAGGATCATTCTGTTTAATATTTGAGTATTTTGAAATTCGAACGTTGTGTTACGTTGCTAAATTTCCAGCATGTTACTGTGCAGTTTTGACATTCTTAGTATAAAAGTGAGTGATTTTGTAGTATAGTTGGATGAATATATGTGTTTGTTTCCATGTGAAGAAAGTTGTTGTTTTGTGTCACCAGGTGGCGACAAACATGGGCAAGCCTGTGCTGCGGCCAGACTGGGTTTATCACTGCTGGGACAATGGCTGCATTAAAGACGTTAAGCCAGACAGTGAGGAGCTACGTAAAAAATACAGGTACCACCTTACAGCCCCGGCTCAAATATGTTAGAACGATAGTGCCAACAACGAAGGGAGCTGGAGTGTGGATGCGGAACGTATGATATCAAGAGCGTATAAAGAAGGAGAGCATACAACGGTGAAATGCTGAAACCATGTTGCAGTATTAGTCGAATTAAGAAACTTTCCCCGTTTTATTTTGACGATTCTTTGCAGTATTATTGATCAGCTGTCCTACCTTGTTAATATAAAACAAACCGCATGTCCCTACGATGCCTCTACGCTGAGATAAAGAGCGGTGAAAATCTGGTATTTTCGCCGAAAACCGACACGAGATCACTGTTTACTGTGACTGTCTCTAGCTTTGTGGCCAGTGTATTGCTTCCGGTCGCCGCTGTGTAGTGGCATGGTAGCGCTGACTCATGTCAGTACTACAGAGTTAAAAGTTTACTATACATTCAGCGTGAGGTGGGCACAGGTGGGGGTCATCACTATGGCAATCAATAACAGACGTCATTCATTCCATTTGTCAATCATTGACGGAAACACGCGAGGTTTCCCGAAGTTATCTCAAAGCGAGATACAGTCACAGTAAACAGTGATCTCGAGTCGGTTTTCGGCAAAAATACCAGATTTTCACCGCTCATTATCTCAGCGTAGGAGATTCGTAGGGACATTCGGTTTGTTTTATATTAACAAGGTAGGACAGCTGATCAATAATACCGCAAAGAATCGTCAAAATAAAACGGGGAAAGTTTATTAATTAGACTAATACTGCAACATGGTTTCAGCATTTTACCGTTGTACGCTCTTCTTCTTTATCCGCTCTTGATGGTATTAAAGTGATTACGTCACCGTAAATAGTAAAAAATGAAAAAGATATTTCTACTTTTTCACAAAATATAAGTAATTCTGTTTACATTTTATGGTTAAATTGCTGCATTATACTTCCTATTTTACTATATTGTTCGATGTGAGCATACACTCGTGACCCATACATAGCCCATAGCAAGCAATTAATGTTAGACAACATTAATTCAAATCGTCCAGGTTTTTTGGATTTTTAACTAGTTGAGAAACAATCTTATCAGGTAAGAATTTGACGATTTGTTTAGTCCCGTTAGTTCTTACTTTTAATGTAAAAAAATAGAAATTTTTTTTTTACAAATTTTACCATAGAAAATTCATGACGTAATCCCTTTAACATTAACTTTTTCTCTTAGACCGTTGACAGAAATGCTGCGAAGTTACCTGAATGAAAAATCGCAGCAGATTTCCTCGTAATAATACGAAACAAAGTGCTGTCGACGGTCTACGAGAGAATGTTAGTGTTAAGACTAATGTTAAGACCAATGCTAAGACTAGTGCTAAGACTAATTTTTGTTTCTGACAACTCTGACCTTCTGACCTTCCTTTCGTTTCCTGTAGTTTCGTTTTTTCGTTTTTATGACTAAGACTTCTTCGACTTTTCTTATCTTTTCTCTGACTTTTTTTTATCTTTCTCCTCTTCTTGTTCTGTAATGATAGTAGGCAATATTATAATTTTGTGATTGTGTTAATTATGTTGATAATTATATATATTAATATTATTATTATATGAATATATCATTGTACGTAGTAGTAGTACTATACAATGTTATAACTGTATGTAGTTTTAATTCCGATGTTGATGAATGCGGTGAGCATAGTGAAATCTGATTGGTTCGCACCGTGTCACGTGACTGCGCCTCCGCAGCCGGTGTAAAACTGCGTAAAAATACGGGATGGGAAGGTTTTACGACCCATTTACGGCGAACATTCGCGATATTGCGGCGAAACGAACGACTTACGGTCGAGAAATTGACGGTCGGTGCGTTTGATTCGAGCGAGCCTCACTGGGTGCGATAGAAAGGGGAGGAGAGAGCGCGGGGAGACGGGGAGGGGAGGAGAGAGCGCG